GTAGATGAACCTGTTTCGAAGTTTTAATGCCATCCGATGTGCACGTTAATCGCTGCATCGAAATTATGCGATTTTTAATTTCAACGCATCATTAATGCACAACACGGCTTAATATCTATTTTATGAAAATTTAATACATGTTCCATCATCAGCTACATATACTTCTTTTGCTCAGCTAACTCGCATTATGGCCTCTTGTTATTCTACACGATGAACATATCTTAAAGTGAAAGGACCCCGGAGATTATGAACATACCAGACATCTTGTAATATTTAAAATGGATTCAGTGTTTCAAATCTTATACAAGGTACATGAGGAGTACTTGTAAAGAGTATTTCCTTTTGCCAATATTTAATATCTTGATCTTATGCGTAACAATTTCATATTTAATATTATTAAATTTAACGTTATGTAAAGTATTTAGAGATATTTTCGTGATAATTAACATTTGAGAAATTTGCATTAATTCAGCATATAAAATGTACTTGTGAGAACTAGTATATTTTAGTAAGAAATTATAGTTTCTTTCAATAATACTAAACGTTAGATTTTTGTTTAATATTTTAATAATAAAATATAATTCTTTTTAGCAATAATAAATATTTGAGATTTATTTAAACAAAAATCTAACGTTCGGTATTATATAAAGAAGCTATAATTCGTTGCAAAAATATACTACTTCTCTCAAGTACACCTTATATTCTGAACCAATGGACAAATTTCTTAAATCTTAATTATCACAAAAATATCTATAAATCATTATTAAAATGCGTTACTCCTTACAAATAGGCAGCCATACAGGTTGTCTGGTAATCAGTGGTGTAAACATACGGAAGTGATTCGACGTGAAAAACTAAGTCTAAAAAAAAGAATGAAATTTTTTCGGACGAGGTCTCGTTTTCAGGAAAATTGAATTTGAAAATTCATGGGGTGCGTCCAAATTTATGACACTTATGAGCATAAATACATACACTATAGTGAAATTCACAAATACTTGAACAGAGGAATAAATCTGCTCGTGAATCTTCAACTTACAACTTCATTCTTTCTATTCTCCTTATTTTTACGAATCTAATTCTGTTTGATGGCGCCACTAGTGGCCAGACATGTAACCTAACCTCACCGATATCGCCTCGAACGTAATTCCGATGGAAAACGCACCTCACCCGCGACAAACCCCGATCTTAACTCGAAACTAATCAACGCCCAGAGCCAAGAACCATTACCTCGGCTCTTCATTTTCTAAGTCACTGATTTCCGCAATTACCCTTTTCCCTGTTCTCTCCATGGTCCGCGCGACTGGCTCGGAAGCGGCGCAGAGACACGGTGTCTGGAAAAACAGCCGCGAATCGAACTCGGTCTAACTCTCTCTCGAACCTTTCAACCCCGAAACACGACTCGTCCTCGTGATTACATCGGCGTCCACGGTAAATTTCGCGACATCAAACGGAGAACGGATCTTTCAGCGGGGTGTACCGAAAAGTAATTTCGCCTGGTAATCGTCCGGGGGTTTATTATACGCGTGGATCCTCCCGGAGTGTGGCGCCCTCTGTGTTTGTTCGCAAGACGCTTCATGGGGCGCAAGGTAAATAATATCGGAAATCTGAATCTACCCTCGAACAGGGGGAGGGTCTATGTGCTGGTTGAACTCGTGGACGTTTCGGAAAGTTGTGCGACGACAGTGCCCAATCGTTGGGGAAAATCATCGATCTGACGATAAACGATGAGGACAGAGTGGGGGTTGGGTCTGAAAATTGGACAAGAAAAGAGGAAGAGAGGAGACGAAGATTTGTTATCGGTAGTAATGGGCAGACTTTTTGAATGGATCCTCGGTGTGGACTTGGCCTTGCTCTTGAAACTTGGTCCAGGGGGTTAATTCTAAGTTTAAGTATAACTCAGTGATGTTTCTCAGGGATGGAGTTATAGAAATCTGTTGATGAATATAGGTATGTAAGTATATAGGTATTGGTTACATGTAAATTATATAATAAATTTGATAATGGAAAAAGTAATTACAAATTAGATTGATGAATATCTTACCTCAATTCCTGAATTCTTAATTACAGATTTATTTGGTAATTGTACAAATTTCCTGATTCAAATATCAATACGAATGGTATTTATTTGCCAGAACTAAATAAACGAAGAAAGAAATTTAATTAGAAATTTATATTATGAGCAAATTGAATTCCTCATACTTTACCAGGTTGGAAATAATTAAATTAATTACTTGTATTAAAATTGGTTGTTTTTCTTCATATCGAATGCAATTATGATTTTTCCTAACAATTTAGTAGGAATTAATTGAAATAATCCCGAAACATGCTGAAATTTGTCCCAGGCAAAACAAGCTTCACTCACTCTGCATTCTCTGAAACAGAATAAACATTATTATTAGTTGTGATTGAAACAATTCCAGAAATATTGATTAATTATCGTCATATAAAATTCCTACCTCTCCAAAGAGAACTTTCAAAAATATTCTAAATTGGTAACTAATGAAATTAATAAAATAATTTCTATTTCCGGAAATTATAATTACATTTTCATTCTTACAAAATAAATTTCCACGATACATGGAAATTATCGAGATATTTTTATTACCTTTTAAAAGTGGGAATACGTGTGCGTGTATGACAGAAAAATCAAATTAATTAAAAGCCATCCATTAAGAATGTCCATGGCTTCCGTGAAAAACGATACGTGCTGTAATTAATTATATTACTATGAACAGTACACGAGTACAGAATTTATAAATTAACGAATTTTATTCTACGCCTCGTTATATTTTATTTGACAATTTTTAATTTTCTGTAATCTGAAATTTTTTCGTAATTTCCTCGACACTTGCATTACCATTCGATTAAAATCAGTGAGCAAGTTTTGTATTTCGCTATATGATTTAACATAATTTAAATAATTCGATACATATATCTATTCGCGTTTCTTTCGTAATAATTCGAAAGAATAAATTATTATCAAATAGTAAATTATTATCAAAAGTGAGCGGATTGGAAACGCGCCAAAAATCTGTTCGAATAACTAGCGACGAAGTATTATACAAGATTCCCTTTGTGATTATTAAAATACCAATAATTTAATTCCGAACTCGACGATCGCGAAAGTAGCTTAAAAACGGGGAAAAATGAGACAAAGCAACATGGCGGAACCCTGTATCCAGGAAATTACAACGCGAAACAACGGTATTATGCCATCCGCCGCATTTAATTTTTCCACGAATCACGGAGTTCATCTATATTCCTGGAACAAAACGCAAGAGGCTGAAATCGCCGTTATTTTCCCTGCAGATAGAGAGAGACGAATAGACGGAGGAAGAAAGATCGAAGGAAAAAGCGGCGGGAAAAATAAAACGGACGAAACCATGCATGGGATTAAAAAAGAGAAAAAAAGGGACGAAAGAAAGGAAAGGCGAAAAAATGAGACAGAAAGATCGAAAAATTCGACGGCAGGAGATTTTTAGCGAACGCAGCGCGCCCCTTTCATCGTGTCCCAACTCTTTTAGAATTATAGCGGTACAAAGGCACGAGCACCGGCGGAGGAGGGTGAATAAACCGTAGCTGCGAATGCAGGCTCGCGCTCGCGCGAATCCGGAGATTTTCAAAAGGACCACGCGACGTGCCTAGCGTACAAAGCGAGCAGTCGATCTCTACCCCATCTACAGAGGAACACCTTGAACACTGCTGGGCTAGAAAGATTTCACCTGGTCCGCTGGTATTATACCTTTATTCGGCTGTCACCCCTACCACCGCCGTGGCCACGCGTCACCGCGGACAGGAGTTGGTCGGGACTGACGTCGACGAGGATAGAATGTAAAGGATATGTATATTAGAAGTGTGACTACCAAAATCTTACCAATGTTTCGATGTATCGATGTATCGATAAGTTAAATACGAACAACCTAGATATACTTATTGCAGCAACAAAAGAAAACATGTACCTACTAATTTTTTTATTACTTTTTTTATTATATTTATTAAATGTTATATCACATTTTAATTATGTGATATTGGGAAACGTCGATAAGGTACCGATAATTTATCGATAATTTATCGATAATTGGTAATCATATGCTGGAACTAGCGAAAATTCGAAATATTTTGGAGATAATTGTTTAAACAACTACATATAGGATGTGAATATTTCTAGGAAGGATGGCGTTCTTGGTTTTACATTTTAGTATAATGGTTATACACTATATATAAACAGCTGAAAGATTCGATTTGTAGGTTATAAATTAAATACTTAATAAATTGTTCATATTTATCAAGACCGTTTTCCTCTTCTTTTTTTTATATATATAGTTTGTTAATTAATTGCGTATTTGTGATTTCAGTATGATGTTAATTAAATGAAAATATTTAATAAACACGTTGAATATCGTACAACATTTACAGAACGAAAAAATTTGAAATATGAACTGAATTTTTTAGTATATTGACATGTGGAAAGTATGTTTTTAATTTAAATAATAATTTATTTTACAGTTCCTGTCCACCCCGATCACCCCATTAGTCAAACATCGGACGACGATAGATTTTCACCGGATATGATTGGTGGCAGCGATTTTATGGAAGGGTAAATATTAAGTATATATAACATTTTTCAAAACTACATTGCTATTATTAGAGTTATGAATATACAATCTACCATTTATTTTTATATCAGATTAGTCTATTATAAATAATTCGATATTCTTACTTTTTTAAAGTTTATTATATGTTATAGTGGGAAATTTTTTTAATATATATCAAAAAGAAGCTAATAAAATATTAACATGTTTAAAATTTGTAAAATATTTAATAATTTAATATAGCATTAAATTTTATTGTCTATTCTAAAAAGTATATCTTTAAAAAGTAATAGAATTCATCATTTCACCGCCGAAAATTGCGATTAGCGTCAGTTTACAAATGGACGCCGGGTGTGGTGTCAAATGACATAAGGTTTCTGTTAAAATTTTGATAGATAATTTATAAATATGAAGCTACTCTTGTACCTAGTATTGTTACTAAATACGTGTATTTTTGTACGTGCCATAAATAGTGTCAAAAATGTTACAAATGTTACAGAAACAAGGTGATTATTCTTTGTTGTTTTGAGTGAGGTTATAGAAAACTACCGCGAATTTTGTACAATAATACATATAAAAGGTTGTAATTGATATATATTAAATAAAGACCCGAAAATATAAATTTGTGTGACTTTATTTTTGTTTTAAAACATTTTATTACATGATTTAAAATGTTGAATTTATTGATGGTCATATCCAGCTAAGGTTATGTTTTGAAAAAACAATCGTTTACTTTTGTAAAAATCATGACATAAAATGTTCACGTAATGAAATAACAAATTGATATTTTTATTTTACATAAAAAATGAGTCTGTATATACTGCCATTATATTAGAAATGTATTATTTTTCGAAATAATACAGCAAAATTTTGTATATTCCTAACCTATAAAATTTACTTTATCAATTTCTATATTATTAAATCTGTACATTGAACTAAATTATTTTATATTGTTAATAGCATTGGACCGGGAGATGGGTTAGATCTCTCAGGAACAGGAATGTCAACGCCACACATCTCTCATTTGGCATCAACGAATCCATTTAGTATATTATCACCAAGTCCACAACCAACTAGTTCTCAATCTAGTACTATCGACATTCATACAATCGGCGGCCTTAGAAACGTCAATATGCAGTTATCTCCTGGGAGAAAAGACAATCATGAAGGGAAATGTGAGGTACATAAAAAATAATTATAAAATGAATTAAATGTTAAATTATAAATTTTATATTAAAACTTTAATTAATCTTTTTAGATGTATGTAG